GATGGTACTTGTAGTTTCCGAGAGTCTTTATTTTGTTCATTTAAGGCAAATTTGGTTTTCTGGAGACAGAGAGAGAGAGAGAGAGAGAGAGTGTGTGTGTGTGTGTGTGTGTGTGTGTGTGTGTGTGTTTATCTTTAAGGTATTAGGATAGCTGTCTACAGATTAAGCAGTAATATACATTGAAGTATTGGGGGAATGAAAAGAGAAAGATCATCATAATTCTGCATAATGACACATTTGGTACAGTTACATTAAAATACTATTTTTAAGGATAATCATTGATTCGTAAACTTTAAAAATTCATCAAAAACAAGACAGTTGATGATAATATTGGTGGTAAATGTCATTGAGATCTGGAAGGAGATAACTTTTAGGTCATTAGTAAACTCTTGATAGAGTCTGATAGGATTGATAGAGAATACTAAAATAGTCTATTGAGCCAGTATCTGTCATTGTATCTGGTATACTAGATAATACTAGATACAGGAAATTTCTAACTGCCAGTACTGAGCAATTCTATATTCTCCCTGACACTGTAGTCTTCTAAGCATTTTTAAAAATTTTGAGTATATTATTAGCATTTGATACCCTGGAATGTTGAACTTTTGACCAGACTGATTGGTAATGAGGCCAGCTTTTGTATGCTGAGGTTGTTGTACAAGACAAGGTCATATTATTTTTCTTTTCTAGCCCATATAAAGTAACTAGAGTTTTAAATTTTTAAACAGTATTAATCTGAATAGGGATAATGCTGCCTGTGGAAGATTTGAAGGCATTTTCCACTTGATTCTCTGCTCTCCATATGGGAACAAAATTGTCCATGAGTTCCAAAGGTGGTCTGAACTAAAAAATCTTATTACTTTTTCTTGTGTAGTTCAGTGTGTTAAAGTAGAACATTCGACTGTAAAATAGAGATCTTTATAGAGTAAAAAAAAACAAAACCCCAGACTTTGATGATTATGAGAATTTCCTCTGGCATACTTTAAGTGAAAAACAGGAAACCAGTTCTGGAAAGAAATTTGAAACCTTGGGTAAATGTTTCAGTTTGCCTCTGCTCTGCCTTGGGTGAATGCCCACCTGCCTTGAAAATGATAGGCATTCAGCGTTCGTCTAAAGTAGCCTGGGTAAGATATTTGTCGTTTCCCTTCATTTCATCTGAAAATGCTCAGCCAGAAACAGCTTCATATGTAAGGTGCCTGGCTGAGCTTCACAGGGCTTAGATGTCTTGCCAGACCGTATAATGGCACTGTTGGTATTAATACCAATTTATATATTTTTAAATACTTGTCTCCTTTTTGTTACCATTGCTTGTTTCTTTTACATGTTTTGAAGTGTTTGGTTAACTTAGAAAAAATTGCTAGCCAATGTTCAGATTTTGAAAATTGAAAGTTTGCTGTTTTTCCTTCTGAGTCTGATTCTGATTCCTTTGTAAAAATCAGAATCTGCTGTTGTTAGATGCCATCAAGTCGGCTCCAACCCATAGAAACACTTTGCACAATAGAACAAAACACTGCATGGTCCTTTGCCATCCTCACAATTGCTCCTATGCCTGAGCACATTGATGGCAGCTACTGTGTCCATCCATCTTGTCCAGAGCCTTCCACTTTTTTGCTGCCCTTCCACTTTACCAAACATGAGGGACTAGTCTCTCCTGACAACATGTACAAAGTATGTAAGTTGAAGTCTTACCATCCTTTCCTTGAAGGAGCACTCTGACTTTACTACTTCTAATACAGATCGGTTTGTCCTTTCACCAGTCCATGGTATTTTCAGTATTCTTTAGCACCACAGTTCAAATACTTCTTTTCTTCTATGGTCTTCCCTATTCAGTATCCAACTTTCACATGCACATGATGCAAGGGAGAATACCCTGGCTTGGGTCAGGCACACCTTAGTCCTCAAAGTACCATCCTTGCCTTTCAGTGGTCTAAAGAGGGCTTGTGCAGCAGATTTACTTCATGTAATAAAAGTCTTTTGATCGCTTGACTGCTGCTTCCATGAACATTGATTGTAGATCCAAGCAAGTCAAAATCCTTGACAACATCAACCTTTTCTCCCTTTATCTTGATGTTTCCTCATGGTCCAGTTGGGCTTCCTTACATTGAGTTGTAATCCATACTGAAGGCTGCACTCCTTGATCCTCATCAGCAAGCGCATCGGTTCCTCCGCACTTTCAGCAAGCAAGGCATGTCATCTGCATATCGAAGGTTGTTAATGAGTCTTCCTCCAATCCTGATATAGTTTCTCTGGTGATTTGCTCAGCATACAGATTAAACTAGTATGGTGAGAGGATACAACCCTGGTGCACACCTTTCCTGATTTTAAATCATGCAGTATGCCCTTGTTCTGTTCACACAACTACCTCTTGACCCACGTAAATTTTTCTGATGAGCACAATGAAGTGTTCTGGAATTCTCTTTCTTCTCAAAGTTATCCACATTTTATTATGGTCCACCCAGTTGAATGCCTTTGCATATAGTCAATGAAACACTAGCAAACATCTTTCTTGTGTTCTCTCCTTTGAACCAAGAGCCATCTGACATCAGCAGTGATATCCCTTGGCCTCTTCTGATATCCATGTCCTCTTCTGAATCTGGCTGGAACTTCTGGCAGTTCCCCATCAATGTGCTGCTGCACGGAATCAGAATCTATACCTGGATTTCGAAATATGCAGTAATCTGAAGTTAGACTTCATTAATTTTGAACAACACATATCATACTGTTACTGTTCTGTGGCATTTTTGTTGCTTTAAAACCTTGTCATAATTACTAAGAGGAACCCTCCTACATAGGAAATCTAATCTTTATAGGATCAGACAGCCTCATCTTCCTTCCAAGGAGCAGTTGGGAGGATTGAACATCTGACCATGTGCTCAGCTGACCAGCACTTAATTGACAATGCCTCCAGGGCTCCTTAGAAGGATCAGAGGAGAGTTCATAAAGGGTTTCTATATTTGTTCATTTGATTGCTCTTATCAAATAATGTAATTTTTAATGTTATTTATATTATAAACATTTTATTAAATGTTTATAAACTCTGTTTGAAGCTCTAAAACCCTTTCTTTTCAAGATGGGTCATATTAAAGCATAAATTGGTTTGTATGCATCATTAGACCTTACAGCTCTCCAAGGGAAGATTCTTGAAACTTTTTAAATGTAAAAATGGGTTATAGTTGCATCCTCACTCTGTAACTGATGACTAATGAGCATTTTATCTTTTTCAGACGGCACATGGCTACATCTTATTTTTTCACATTATGTCAGCAAGAGGGGACAAGTACCTTTATGAACCCGTGTATCCCAAGTAAGTTTTCTTTCGTTTAATTCTGGCATGCTTTCCATACTCGGGAAAGCCTACTTGGGAGTTGTCTGAAGTGATCAAAGTAAAGCTAGCCCAGCATTTCCACGTAGATTACTTCCAAATGTTCCAGGTCTTGCTTTTTCTCTCCTGAATAAAGAATTCTTTAATTAAATATGCCTTGGACTCTTGGATGAATGTACTATATTCCTTCTTGAATATGTTCAGAATGGCTTACCTTCTCCAGGCTCAGGAGCGCTCAAGTGTTGATGAGGGAGGAGCTAAAAGCCTCATCTTTCTCCCTGGAGCATCTGGGGGTTCAAACTGCTGACTTTGCCATTAATAGCTCATCAGTCTTGGAAACCCACAGGGGCAGTTTTACTCTGTCCTGTCAGGTCCTTATGAGTCCGAATGGACTCAGTGCCAGTGATTATGGAAGTTAACAGGTTACACATCAGGTGGAAATGCTTCAGGTTAAAGTCGTTCATTCAGGATGTATTACAAAGCTCTATTAGGGCTGCTCATAAATGCCCAAAGGGCATGCCACTCCTGTATGCCTCAACCCAAACGCACCCAGAGCTCCAGTTCTGTGCGTCAGCACGTCCAGCTCCCTTAGGTACCCAGAGGTCCTCCACTCCACAAGCCAGCCTCCTCCCCCAAAGCCCTCCGCTGTCATTACTTGCACCGCCAGCAGCAATGTCCACACACTGTCTCATGCTCTACTGTGGAAGCTGTCTCCTGGATCAAGGAGGTCCCTTGCTCTGGATTGTCAGGGCCTAAAGGGCAGCCTTTACTCCCGGCTCCCCTCTCAGTGGTAGTGAGATTCCCCCGTCCTGCTTCTTAGATGGCTCACTTTATACCCAGAAGAATGGCAGTCACCCACAGCTGATTCATATCATACAATCAGTAGCTTTCTCCACCTGCTTACCCAGACCTATGAGGAAAAGGTCATTTGGTGGGAGATACAGATATTGTGGTTACAAGAACCACATTTAATAATTCAGTTCTCTGCAAGCCCATGACAGCGTTTACCACAACCACATGCCTATGAGGTGAACAGTAAGACCAGGGAGTTAGGCACTCACTCACTGCAACAATCTGCCATAGGCGATCTAAAGGGTTGCATGTGCTCAGGGACAGGAAAGGACAAATGGAAATGGGGAAGAGGGCTGTTAACACTGTGGACTGTGGTCAGTGTCAGGAAACAAAATGTGAGTGAATTGTTGAAGGGACAACCAATTGGTATAAACTTTGACTCAAATCATGTAAAAAGTTAAAATAAAAATCCTATAAGTTTTTAAGAAATGTGAAAACTCCAATAGATAAATAGGCAAAAGTCATTAAAAGAGAAGTTTTTAAGAGGAACTATAGCAACTACAGGGATGAGTGATCTATAGCAACTACAGGGATGAGTGATCCATTCCCAGTAATAACTGAGCCAAAACATTAAATACAAGAAAGTAAACTATCAATCATTTTATTGGGGGCTCATACAACTCACCACAATCCATACATAAATCCATTGTGTCAAGCACATTGGTACATTTGTTGCCATCATCATTCTCAAAACATTTGCTTTCTACTTGAGCCCTTGGTATCAGCTCCTCATTTTATCCCTTCCCTCTCCCATTCTCCCTCATGAACCCTTGATAATTTATAAATTATTATTATTTTTTCATGTCTTACACTGACCGATGTCTCCCTTCACCCACTTTTCTGTTGACCATCCCCCAGGAAGGGGGTTATATGTAGATCATTGTGATCGCTTCCCCCTATTTCCCCCACCTTCTGCTTACCCTCCTTGTATCTCTACTCATTATTGGTCCTGAGGGGTTTATCTGTCCTGGATTCCCTGTGTTTCCAGCTCTGATCTCTACCAGTGTACATCCTCTGGTCTAGCCGGATTTGTAAGGTAGAATTGGGATGATGATAGTGGGGGTGGGGGAGGCATTAAAGAACTAGAGGAAAGTTGTATGTCTTTTCGGTGCTCATTTACACATTTTAACATATAAAAACAGGGTTGTTAAATGTACTACTCAGTGCTAATGGAGGTGTAGTGAAACAGCATTTTTGTACTTTTGATAGTAATTATATACAAAGGTAATGACTTTAGTACTGTTGATGATTTTTTAAAATGATAGAATATAGTCAAGGATATGATAATAGGGACTGGTTGGCAAATTAACTGATATATCCTTCTAGATGCAGTTATTATGTCTCAGAAAAATGTAATAACTTGAGAACCTGATTACAATGTTGAGTGAAGAAACAAGTCATTCAGTTCTATACCGTATATGCTCATGTATAAGCTGAGTTTTTCAGCATACTTTTTATGCAGTTTGGTGTAAAATTATGTGATATCCAGGTCGGCTTATACTTGAGTATATATGGTATGTATTATGACCACAATTATGTAAAACAAACCAGTTAACTTAAGTCATCTGAAGAAAAATATCTAGAAAAATATAATACACATATTTATAGTAGTTACTTTGGCATTGTACAACTAGTGATATTTCCCCCTGCTTTTAACTTTTCAATTTCCCCAAATTTTTGAATCATGTACATTTAATGTGCTTTAAAAAAAATAGATGTATTTGAAAATTATAAAACAGAAAGGAACCAATTGCTACCCCAAATTTAGAGCCATGATACTTGTTTAAGTACCATTTGCTGTTAATGCTCTTCAGAATACACTTTGGGAAAGGCTAGCCCAGGCCATGTAGAAAGCAGGTCGGCAAGGGTGGCATGTACCCCAGGACAGAGGTCAGAGGACTAGGAGAAGAGGCGGGGTGGAAACACAGGAAGGAAGGTGGGTTGAGGATGAGGCATGGGATTGCAGTGGTTGAGTTGAATCAAAATGCATATGAATGTAGAATTGATGATCTGCTCTGTAATCCCTCACCTAATTCGCAGTAAAAGGTGTGAAGGGAAAAAATAGTTCTTTGAGTCTACAGTGAAAGGACTCTGACTGGTCTAGATTTCTTTTGATGCTACAGCCAGTTGCTTTTCTAACACACAATACTGTTAACTGAGATGGTAGTTGAGTTTTAGAAATCCTCTGTAAGGTCAGAAACTCTCTGATGATGAGATTTGCTTTAACAGTTCTTTTTCAATAAAAATTTTTGTAATAAAATCTTTGCATATAAATTGTATTGTTTAAAATATGAAGAAGGTCCATGATGGGCACTTGATTATATTTGGAATGTAAAGTTCGTTTTTGTGACAGAAATCTTACTATTATTCTTGTACATACATTTTGATCCTTTTGATGAACTGTTATGATCAGTAAACTCAAATTTCATTTGCTTGTACATTTTGAGCTATTACATCTGACCTCTTTTTATTACTAGATTTGGACTAGATCCTATACATAAAAAGCAGTCATCAGAATCAGTTGAATTTAACGTATACTACTGTAAGTGTGCAGGGTAGGAAAATAACTTTTATCTGAATAATGGAGGAATACACTCTTCTTTATTTCACATCACAAACCTGCTCCACTTAGTGTACCGGGTTTCTGAGAAGTATTCCACGGCACACTGTTTGGAGTCCCAGAGAAATTCGTCAAACAACATGTAAGGTACAATTACTAGGCCCTCTGTAACACAGTGAGTTAACAGCTGGCCCATAGTCACATGGTAGTACAGCCTTGACTCAGACATAAAATGTAATAGTGCCAAAGCGTGTGTTCTTGATTACTGTTTGGCCCCAACCTAATTTACGCCCCATCCAGGGATTCATTTGGCAAGTCAAGTGTAGTTTTTAAGAAGGAAAAATTATCTGGGGTAGTTCATAATAGTTGTGTAAAATACTGGGAGCACTACTGAGACCATAGTGTGTCCTGTCCTCAATTATAGAAACACAATTGGCTCTTATTTCTCCCTCCAAATTTTATGAGTTCATCTTGTTTATCCAGAGCATCTCAACTTGCCTGTATTCTGTGACATCTTAGCCTCAGACTGCATGTCATTTTCCATTTACTTCCTCTGAGAACCCGGGTCAGATGCCCCATGATCCCATGCAGTTTCCACATAGTTGTTTCCAGTGCCCTTCTTGGAGATGCTGGGAGTCAGTCTTCAACAATGGTGGTGTCTTATCCAAAGATTCTTTGTGTGCCTCAAAGGCCACTTAGTCTATAATGAATGATTTTTTTCCCTTGTTCTTTTTCAATCCTTTGCATAGGTCCCAATCTAGATTAAAATACCTCCTCCTGTTACACAAACTAGGGGGAAACTTGAAGGTTGTATGGCTTTTTCTTCAGTGTTTTAGAACTTGTGAAGTTACTGACGGAAATTTTGCCTGGGATCAATCAGAAATAGTTTCCATTTCAAACTCAAAAAGATTCTAATTTACTGAAACCGAGTTGATTCCAATTCCCACATAGTCATGTGTTTATGCTAAGTAAGAGTTTAGTGTATCTTTTGAACTAGAAAACCATACTTAAGTTTGTCATAGTGAAAATGATTTCAGCAAATATGCCATCATCATTTATACTTCACTGAAAGCAGATCCCCATCCCCCCACCCCCCTTGTTCTTTTTATCCTTTCACCCCTTTTAACCAGTTAGTGCTGCTGATAAATGCCCAAAGGGTATCCACTCTACCTTAAGACTCACCCTAAAGGTTCTTGGCTAGCTCTCAGCTAGTATCAATCATGAAACCTAGCTCCTCAGTGAAGTGCTCCTGCCTGCAGACAGACACTCAGCCTTCTAGCTTTAAGGACTAAGAAGCCCACTGCTCTGTCCCTGCTCCAACTCTTGTATCGACTGCTCCACCCCTCTGCTACTCCTCTGTTGTCACAGCTTTCTGCCCATGGATCAAAGAGATTTTGTACAAGGGGCTTGCAGGGCCCATCCCTTCTTCCTGCTTCTGAGGCTTATTTCATACTCAGCTAGGTGGCAAAACGGACCAGTCCCCACAGTGGAAATTCCAAACTTCTAAAATCACTACCCTGTTAAACAGTCACTCACAACTGAATCCTATTAGCCTCTTCCCCGACTTTCTTTCACCCAGACCCAGCAGGAAAAGAGTCATTTAAGATTATGGCTTGAAGAGCTAGATTAAGCAATTCACCGCACAACAAGAGATGACGTGGACAATGTCCAGAGCTGTCTCTGTCGTCTCAAACCACTTTGTTCAGCTTCAGACCCACCTTTCCGCAGATAAATTCCCTCTAATTTATCAAACCAAATCAGACCTATACCAAAACAGACTGCCCACCGCCTTAGAGGTGAGTTGACTCAGTCACCGCGAGCAGGGTAGAACTGCCCCTGCGGGGCTTCTTTATGGAAGCCCGACTACCATAGCGTTCTTTCTTGGAGTCACTGGTAGATTGGAACCGCTGGCCTGAAGATCGGCACCCAAGCATTTTAACTTCTGTGACACCAGAGCTCAAACTCGTCATGCCTAAAACCCAACTCCTTTTGCTCCTACCAAGCTAATCATGCAATTGCTATTGCCTTTATAAAATATTTGGGTTCTGGATTTCTTCAGTCTTCGTCTTACATGAGAATTGGGTTATGTTGATTGATCACAGTTCTCCAGAAGTCTTCTGTTTCTTACTGGCACTGATTTTGCTGGGGCCTTCACGAACTCTCTCTGCCTGCTGAAATCCCTTATGTACGGACTCATTTCTCTTTTTTCTACTCTCTCTGCCCTATACACCATTCCATCTTTTGTATTGATATCAGATTTATTTATGTCAGAACCAGAGACCTGATGACATAAACGCTAGTTACTCTCCGGTTTCCAGAAACTAGTCTAAGCTCTCAAGCCTGGCATTTAGACCCTTCCCACCCCTACTTCAGTCCACGGAACTCACCATTCCCTAACAGCCCCATGTCATGTAACACCTCTGTCCACTTGCTGCGGATACTGCTTAGGGTGCCTTTTCCACTATCTTCTTTCTTTAGGTAAGAAAACCCATCTACCTGTATCTTCCAGCTGAGGACAAACATCCTATCTTTAAAGCTTATGCTGTCATCTCTCCTGCCCTCCCTTCTACTCCCTCATTTATGCTCTTCTTAGCATTAAAAAAAAAATTTTTTTTTGCACTGGTAATACATAACTTTTTTTTTTTAAGTGCAAGCAATGAGATAAACATACAGAGTGAAGAAGGAAATTGTGAACCCTGTCTGCTCTTTTAGATTCCATTCCCCAGTTGGGTTTCTTTCTCTTGGGTAAATAAATACCCAGGAGTACAATGGCTGGGTCCTCGCATATGTTTACTCATTGTAGATTGTATATTGAACATTGTGTTACTATCAAGTGTCTAGAATTTGTTCTCTTCCTCTAGAGACTTTTTGGGTTGTTTGGAGTGGCTATTGCGTGACTTGGCTCTCTTCTGGACCCTGTTGAGGGTTGTTGTAAGAACTTAGGGCAGGATTGACAAGCTCTGCTCTTTCCTAGCTTAGCCCCATTGCCAAGCTGAATTTGGTATTGAATACCCTGGGTCGTTAAAATTTCCAATTTTCTTGTGGTTTCTGTTGAGATGTTTAGTTCAATACCAGTTTCTTATCCTATTAAAATAATAAAATGAACCTTTTTGTGGCCATCAATAGTCCCTGATGGTTAATTGCTCAGTAAACCAACCAAAAGGTCGGCTGTGGAAATCTACCCCACAAGGGCTCAGTTGTCAGAAGTTTGTAATCAAGGTGCCTCGAGCTGTGCTTGGAAGGAAAACTAGGCATTAGTGGGTTGTGTTACGTAAATGACTGCACTCTTGACATTTCTATTGCCCCCTCTTTCCCAAATTCATAGGCCATCGGTCAGGGTGTTCTTTCCTTTATCATCCGATATTTGAAGTCTGCCCAGTAGACTTTGCGGAAATAAGTGTGTGCTAATTTTAATTGGGTGGTGACAGTTTTCTTTATTACCTGGTCTGGCCTCTGAAGCATACTTGACATGCAAGCAGAGCAGTCTTTATTGTCGTCGTTTAATTTCTCTTAAGACATCTTTGTATTTTGAATGATAGATTTGCTTTTCATCAGTTTGATGGGAAATGCCTCCCTCCTGAAAGCTATGGGAAGCTGGAGCCGTAGCTGACCTGCCCCATAGAAGCATTTCATTTTTCACTGGTCTTTGGGAGCTGCTTGCCAACCTGAATGCCTTATCTTTCCTTAGATTGGAAAGCTGGGAAACTTTAGTTTTAATTTATGCAAAAGTATACTACAATAACAAAACACTCAAACTGGCTGACTTACATTTTTTCCTACGTAGGGTATTTTTCTTGGACTTGATAATACTGCCTTGAATATACACTCAGCAGTTGAGAGATGTGGAGGTGGGAATGGCATTTGGAATCAAAGAGCCCTACGTCCTGATCCTGGCTTTACTTTTTACTGGTGGTGACTCTGGAAACAGACATTTTGAGTTACTTACTATGCTTTCCTCTTGCTTTCTATAAAGTGAGAAAAATAACTGTTTAGTTACATAACTCTTATTAGGTCTGTTAAGTCACAGTTGTTGTCTGGGTTATTGTTAAATTACTACACTTGGTCGTCCTTCACTAGACAAGTTCTGTGTGTTCAGAAAACAAGGGAATTGTAGTTCACAAAGTGTATCAGATTTATAATGAACTAGAATTTGAAGAATGACAAAACCTTAAGAAAATTGCCCCAAAATACAAGTTCTGTTATTTGAAAGTAAATCTTATGTTGAGTCATGGATCAGTGTGAAGTCACAGGCTTGACTGTTCTGGAGTCACGCTCTATACTTGCTTCCACAAACCCAAACCAAACTCACTTCCACTGAGTGCATTCCCACTCACAGTGACCCTGTAGGACAAGGTAGAACTACCCCTGTGCATTTCCTGTACTGGGACTCTGTGGGAAAAGAACACCGCTCTCCCTTGGCGCAGTCCACCACATAACCACTAAGCTGCCAGGGCTCTCTACCTTCTCCCAGAGCCAATAGAGAAAACACGACCCCCCTCCAAATGTAGTGGGCACCCTGAATTTGGACTTGCCATCTCCTGAACTTCAGAGAATGCACCACTGCTTGTTACAGCCGTCCCCTCGCGGCATGTCTGTTATTGCAGTACTAGGTAACCAAGACAGCCTGAGAACCATCATGACAGAAACTGTGGTAGGGGTTTGTGTAGTGCATTTTCTACATTCTTTTTAAGACTTCTGTTAGCTTGCATTTTCTGAAGTCTTGTTTTAAATAGTGTGACAGAAATTTCCTTAACCACTTATAGCCCCACTACCCCGACTCCCACCTCTACCTCTTATGTTAGACAGGGTTCTCTAGAGAGATAAAACCAAATTGCTGATAATTTAATATATTTATTTATAAAGATAATTAGATACATAACACAAGAAATGAACTGTTAAATTATATACGGATAGATATATAATACAAGAACAGTTAAATTACAAAGCAGTACAAATGGCTCAGTGCAACTCACTCCCGTGAGAGAGAGTTGTGAGACACTAGCAGTCCTTCAAGTCTAGTCTGCTGACAGGTCTTCCTCTATCTATAGAGAGAGAGCTAGGCTATCTCAGCACAGCAACCAATCACAAGGCAGATCACCAACTGTCAGCCAGGTCACTAACCGCCAGTCCCCAGCTCCAGAGATGTCTTAAAGGGACCTCAACTTACAGCGACACAGTTCACAGGCTAGGCGTCCCGCAGGTAGTGTAGCCTTTAAATTGAGGCACAGAACAAGCAAGGCAGCCGCACACTGGTCCAATGATCAAAGAGCGAGAGACAAGAAAGGCGAGGCTCACCAAGCCATTTATCTCTCTGCCCTTCAGTTAATCCACTTGTGTTTATCGGCCAGGCTGGCACAATAAACTATCTCAACCTCCCACCCCACCCTCACTCCCAAGACACAAGGAATGCAAAGGACTCCCCCACCCTGTGTGGGGACGCCCCTCGAATGCTTGGGCTATTCCTGACCACTCTCAGCCGCACTCAGAGTGTGTTCATCGCTTATGGTCTTGCAGGTCTTTTCTGACCAGCTGTATCTGCCTTGAGCATGAGTGTGATGTTGTAGATTCCCCAGTCAGGGGAGCTTCTCCAAGTCCTACATCTGAGTCTGACCTTCATTCTGATATACCCGGAGAACCAGGTGCCAGGGATGAGCTGTGGATCACTGGGGACCTGTACTGTATACAGCTGGCTCTCCAGTTGCCTAACTCAGAAACAGCCTTCAGTCGTTTCAAACAAAAGGGTGCCTGTTCTCTCCCAAGTGGATCTTTTGTGTTTCTCCTCAGACTTTCAGATGTCCCCCTTCTCCCCTCTGGGTTACATTGGTCAGACCCGCGTCCAGTTGAGGAGTAGATCAGTCGCTACCATGCAGTGTAGTCTGTTTCTTATTTGAGAATGTAAAGGATGAATGGCTGATTTTGAGGTTGAATTTATAGAGGGGAATTCCGTGTCCTTTTCTTTAACTTTGCGTATCTGCTTTTGCTTTCAGAGGAAGTCCACATACGAAGAGCACACCCCATTTTAAGGAAGAGCAGTGTGCACCAGCATTAAATATAGAGATGAAGAAAATACTGGACTTGCAAGCACCTATCATGAGGTAAATTGCTTTGGTTAACTTAACTTTCATTATGACCGTATACACTGTAACTAGTTAACCAGTCGTGGTTCATAGAGTGGAGTGACCAAACCCGGAAGCCAACTGTCATTGGTCGATTCCACCTTATGGCACTTACAATTGTGCGTGTTTCCCTATAGGCTTTCCAAGGCTGTGAATCGTTAGGGAAGCAAATTGGTTCATTTTTCTCCTGCAGAGAGCAGGCTGGCAGGCTTGACCTGTAGACGCTTCAGTTAGCAGTACATTGCTTGACCACTGTGCTACCAGAGCTCCTTCCTGTTGAGTGACCAAACTCAAACTCACTGCCATCAAGTGAACCTATAGGTCACGGTGGAACTGTGTCCCCTGTGGGTTTCCAAGACGGTAACTCTTCACAAGTAAAAAGCCCAGTCTTTCTCCTGGGGAGTGACTGGTGGTTTTGAACTGCTCACCTTGCAGTTAGCAGCCCAGCAGGACACTGTATTTCCCATATGTCAGTGATTAACAGTCCAGTCCACCCAGTTAGCTAAACTCTCCAGGTGCGTGTGATCAGTCTTAACAATTTCTTTTCCCTCAGCCTAGCATGTAGTAAGTTAGACACCATCATGTTTAATTTTTTTATCTCCCTTATATTTAACCCCAGGGAGCCTTGGTGGCATAGTGATTGCAAGGTGGGCTGCCAAGTGCAGTTCCCTCTCAGTCACAAGTATTGAAGGCCTTGTCTCAGTATTTCCACTGCAGGGAATGTATTCTGCAGATACTCTCATGCTTGTCGCAGAGGACATGCTGCCAGGTTTTTTCATCCTAGCTTTGTAATAGCAAAAGACAGGAAGCAGCCTAAATGCCCAACAGTAAGGAGCTAGTTAAATAAATGTTCTTATAGCTACATAATAAAATAATGTCTACTAAAACCACAGTGAAGACACTATTGAAAAATTAAATGTTGGGTGAAATAGGCAAGGCACATAAAGCGTGGCACATTTCATAATGTCACTTTTTGTTTTTTTAGCCTGGGGGTGGTGGTGTTGGAATACATGATTCTGGAAGGTTCCCCAAGCAGTTAGAGATAAGAACTGGGGGCTGGATACAGAGTGACAAGAAAGACTTTTGTAGTGTCAGCTCTTTGTAAGTATCAAACAATATGAATGAATTATGACTTTATTGAAGTATATGAATGTAATGCCTAATTTTTTAAAGGTCTTCTGAGTCATCGTTCTAATAAAGGTTTTCTTTGATCAATTTTTCCTTCTTTGGGTTCAGTAAAAGATGACACTGATTCACATTAAACATACTAATATGCCATTGCTTGGCCATGAACTTGCCTCATTCAGTCCATCCCCTTATGCTTTATTGTCTTTAGAAAAGGTCATTCTCATTATTATTATTATTATTATTATTATTAGTGTTATTATTTGCTTCCGTGTAGAGCCGACTCAATAGCATCTAATAATAAGAGTGGTCATTCTTACAAAAGATTGAGTTCAGATCCTTGCCCATAACTTCCTGCTGCCTCAGATTTATTTCTCTCCACATAGAGATCCTTTTCACAAATGCCAATTCATGTGAAAGCCACTTTGATGGTCTGAGGGTTCCAAGCCCTGTGGATGTGCAGAAGTAGCTCCCCCTGGAGGTGGGAACAGGACTGTGCGTGGGACTCCGTCAGGGAAAGGGAGCCTTGGAGAAAAGGACTCCTGCCAGTGTGGAGAAGTTTACACTGTCAGGTTGCTATTTTTTAATCTCTACATTTAGATGGTGAGAAATCTGTAAAGTTTCTCTCTCAAAAAAAAATTGTATTCAGAGCAATTCAATGTAATCAGTGACTGTAACACATGCTGGCTGGAAATGTTATTGGAGATACTTTGTACCACTGATTAAGAAGCTCTCTCTCTCTCTTTCTCTCTCTCCATATATATATATATATATATATACACAAACATACATACATACATACATATATACACATACATATATATATACAAATATATAAGCCTTATAGCCAACATTTCCTTCCTGCCTCCAAAACATCAAAGAAAGTTCAGAATAGCGGGTTCACTATTTCTTATAGTAGCAAGAGTAATCAGCTTTTAACTTTTTATTGAAGAAAGATTATATAGTTCAGGCTAAGCATCCAAACTGTTATTAGTTGAGAATAAAGAACATTTTGAAGGTACAAAGTGCCAACATAACTAATAATCAAAACTCTTAGATGCCCTGTTTCTAACTCTCAACCGCCACCATTGACTCCGTGTTTCCCCCCATCCCGCCACTGAAGGGAGCATAGTGTCAGTGAAACGGGGTTTTGGTGGTGCTGGTGGTGAAGCCTCAGGCTGCCATCAGGAGAGACAGTGGTTCAAACCCACCCGCGGTTCTTCTGGAGAAGCTGTGACTGCCTGCCACCGTGAAGGCGTACAGTTTCGGGAAGCCTCTGTAGGGCGGCGGTGAGTTGGAACTGACAGCCATGGGCTTGTGGCTTTTGCTCCGGGGACGTATTACATATTTATAGTGTGGGATCCCGGGGAGGTGCAAATGGTTAACACTTACTTCAGCTGCTAACTAAGAGGTTGGAGTTTCAGGTGTGCCTACAGGTACTACAGAAGAAAGGCCTGGCAAAACCCGGCCAAGTGAAACCCCTACAGAGGACAGTTCTACTCTAAACACACGGGGTTGAAATCAACGCCAACAGCAACCAGCTAGCTGACTGGGTAGAACGAGTCAGTTCTTTTTTTAATCATTTTATTAGGGGCTCATACAACTCTTATCACACTCCATACATACATCAATTGTATAAACCACATTTCTACATTCATTGCCCTCATTCTCAAAACATTTGCTCTCTACCTAAGTCCCTGGCATCAGCTCCTCATCTTTCCCCTCCCTCCTGAGCCCTTGATAATTTATAAATTATTATTTTGTCATATCTT